GGCCGGAGGGGCCGGGGCGTCCGCGCGGCCCGGGCGTGACCTGCCTGCTCTCCTCCCAGCTGCGCCAGCTCTGCTGGAGCCTGCGGCACAGCCCTGACCCGCGGGTGTGTCTGGATGCCGAAGTCCAGAGGAAGAGGTGCGTCTCGCAGGAAGTGCCAGGTGAGTGCAGGTGCCCGACCGCTGGCCAGGGAGCCCTGTGCACCCCACAGCCTCTCCCAGAAATTCCTTCCCAGGCACAGGCCCCATCGTTCAAGGCTTCAGGTGTGCTGAGGTGGGGAGGCCTCTCGCACTCCCTGTGGCGCGTGCAGGGCCCTAGGGGACACTTCTGGGGAGACCCAGCATGGAGAGAAGGGGAGGGCAGGCCGAGCGTGTGGCGGAGGTGAGGAGCTCGAGAGGGGCAGCGGCCCGGGGCAGCCAGAGCTGCTGCCAGGCGAGCCCAGCCAGCCTGAGAGCTGGTCACTGGGTTTAGCCTCACAGAGGTCCATCGCGGCGCCTCCTGGGGAGAAGGCAGGGGAAAGGGGCCTTTGACGGGGACCCCCAGTGAATGGTGGGTGAGGTGTTTGGGGTGCCCCCACCCAGGAATACACCAGGGAAACAGGCCATGAGTCAACTGGATCTCATTCCCTACGGGGAAGGAGGCTCCAGCTGTCTCCAGGCCCTGAACCTCAGGGCTGGGTGGGGCCCTTGGGGGGTCAGAAAAGCAGCATTTGGGGGGGGGAGGGTGGCCCTGGTTGCTTCTGGTCCCGGCAAATGAGGTTGGCCCTAAGCCAGGGCCTGGCGTGCTAAGAGGCTGAGCCGGGAGTGGGGGGCGGGGGTGCTCTCATCAGGGAAGTCTGCGCTGGGCGCCTGGGTGGAGGTGAGCGCCTGGGACCTCTGCCCCGCAAGTGTGGAGGGGGTGGCCCCGCTGAGCAAGGCCACCCACGCACCTGGAGGAGGAGGGCGTGCCCCGACTTCGTCCGCTTTGCGGGGGTCGGCACGCTGGCTGCCTGAGTGCGTGGAGTGCCGGGCGTGGCGCCAGCCCTCAGTTGAGGACGGAGGCTGCTGACCACAGCGGCCCACGTTACTTAGCATGTGCCCGGCACGTTGAGATACGTGTGGGAGTATGATTGTCCCCGTTCTGGAGGCAGAAACGGAGGCACTGGAGAGTTGACTGGCTTCGCCTGGCTCCTCGATAGCCGGGCCGCAGAGGCGCTGGGGCTTGGACCAAGCAGGGCGTCTGGCCCCAGAGGGAGCCCCTGGCCCCGGCCTCTCTCCTGCTCCCCGCGACACAGCCCTTGGGCTGGTCGGACTGCCTCTTCCAGCCTGGCCACTGACTGGCAGTGGGCAACGTGGACATCTGAGAGAGCGGACCAGAGCGTGGGTCTCGGCCCCTGCAGCAGCTATCTGCACCCCTGGCCTCGGGGCCCTCTGTAGTCATCATCTCTGCGACAGAAGCTCCGCTACCCCGGCTGAGGGACTCCATCACCTCTGCTGCCTCCTTACCCGCCCGACGCAGCTGGCGTGGGCACTGCCCGCCGGGAGGAGACACAAGGCACGTCACGGTGCACACGGCTGGGAGAAGACCCTGGCGGCCTGGGCTTGTCTCCGGAGAGGACGCCAGTCCCGGCCGAGGCCTTTCCCGTGCACGGGAGCTGGCCGCGGTGCTGATCGCGGTGCTGGACGCCGAGCAGGCCCGCGAGGCCGGCTGGCGGAGCCAGGGGAGCCGCACTGACCAGACAGACACTTGGGGGGGTGGGGAGGAAGCAGGGGGGGAGGGGCCGACATTTTAGCCCTGGGGTTAGGCAACTTCCCTGACATGGCCAGAAGGAATGAGTGGAAGCGGCCTGTGATTGCTAGACGTCCCTTTTGCCTCCTGCAAAGTATCTGTGACTCCCCTCAAGGACCCCCAGAGCCTAAGCTGGGCCAGGTTATGAGGCTGGTGCATGCTGGAGAAGACGCCACGGAGAAGCTGCCGTGGGGAGCGGTCTGTTTCCAGAAACCCAGCTGCTCCTCCCAACCCCCGGCACAGATCAAGGGGCAAGGGGACCCCGAGGAGTATCCACCGAGCGCTGGCTGTGCGCCTGGGGCAGGGAAGAGCAGGCATTCCCCGGAGGCGGGCAGCAGGCCCGGGCTGGCTGAGGGACCCGCCAGCGGAAGCCACGCGTGGCCCCAGGCCGCCCCCGCTCGGCCTCGGGCCCTGGGGCCTGCGCCCCCACCCCGGTCTCCGCGTCGTGGCCACAGTGGCACGTTCTGGGGCCGGTTTGTCTCCCTGTGCCCCAGCGCTGAGCCAGGGCCCCCGGAAACCCACCCTCTCGGGTCCACCCGCACCCCCTAACTTCTTCCTACCCCCACGGTTTCAGAGGAGTTCAAGAAGGGCCAGGGCTGCTTCTGGATGGCCTGGGATATCTTCTGTGGCCTGAAGCTGCAGCCCAGCTCCAGAGTGAGCCCAGAGGAGGCGAGCGTGAAGGAGACGCGCAGCCACAGCCTGCTGGACACAGCACCCGACCAGGCCGGCGAGCGCCCCGAGGGTGGCGACGTGATGGAGACGAGCCCCGTGAGGAAAATCATCAACGGCACCGCCGTCATCCTGCTGCTGGTCACGGTCCTCTGTCACATCTACTACTTCTAGAGGCGCCGTGGGCGGCCCGAGGGCACGGGCCAGGGAGGACGCGACGCGGCGCCCCTCG